TTTGGCTGAGCATTCCATGAAGAAGTTTGGCATGAGGAACATTGACCATACAAGCATTTTGAGTGGGCACCAATTCCACGGAAGAACCTCAGCTGAGGAACATCTCCATGAATCAATATTATTCATGCAAATTCTTGGTCAATATTCTTCATCTGCATGGAAGAGCTTTGGTTGAGGTCTCCATGAAGGAATTTGGTTGAGGTCTCCATGAAGGAGCTTTGGCTGAGGTCTCCATGAAGGAGTTTGGTTGAGGTCTCCATGAAGGAGTTTGGCTGAGGTCTCCATGAAGGAGCTTTCGCTGAGGTCTCCATGAAGGAGTTTGGTTGAGGTCTCCATGAAGGAATTTGGTTGAGGTCTCCATGAAGGAGCTTTGGCTGAGGTCTCCATGAAGAAGTTTGGTTGAGGTCTCCATGAAGGAGTTTGGCTGAGGTCTCCATAAAGGAGTTTGGTTGAGGTCCCATGAAGGAGTTTGGTTGAGGTCTCCATGAAGGAATTTGGTTGAGGTCTCCATGAAGGAGTTTGGTTGAGGTTCCATGAAGGAGTCTGCATGAAGAACATTGACTAAGGGAGACTTTTGAATGGGCAGCAATTCCATGGAAGACTTTTGGCTCAGGAACATCTGCCATGAAGGAGTTTGCCTGAAGAACACTGACCATTTAAGAATTTTGAGAGGCCACCATCTCCATGGAAGACCTTTGGGTGCGTTTGGAGGACCTCGACGAGAGGGGGGGGACCCAAGGATGTCTCCCACCAGCTGTCCCGATCCTGCAAACCGGGTCGCCCAACAGAGCACAACGCGCACGCGCGACTCAACTCCCGCAAGGAGGGGCGCCTCCGCCCTCCCGCCACGCCCCCTTCCTTCTGGCCACGCCCCCCCTGCGCCCTTCCCTCCCTCCCTCCCTCCCTCGGGGGCAGGCGCCTTCGGCGCGTGACATCACGCGCCCGCCACCGCCGCCGCCGTCCTCCTCCTTCCGCTTTCCGGCGGAAGCCAGGGAGGGACTTCCTTTTCCGGGTACGGGTCCCCAGGCGGAGGGAGAGCGAGGCATCCGGAGCGCTTGAGCCCCCCGGGCGCCAGACGGAGAGGCCGAGTGAGTGGCGGCGGCGGGGGAGGCGGAGGGCGAGGACGGGGCGAGGGCCCCCGCGGGGGCCACGCGGAGACCCGGCCGAGGGGGGCTCCGAGGGCCGCCGGGGCAGAGCGGGCAGCCGGAGGAGGCCGCAGGCCCGGCCTCGGCTTGACAGGAGGAGGTGGGCCGGGCCGCCCCGCAGGAGGGCGGGGATCGAGGGCGGGGAGGGGCGCCCAAGGCATGCCGGCGAAGGAGAGGGCGCCCCTCCCCGCCTCTTATTGGGGGAGGGGCGCCTCCGCGCTTTGACAGCCCCCCCCGCCCCCTTGGCCAGCCCGGGAGAGGGGGGCGGCTCCCCACGAGACCCTCCTTGCAGCCCCCGTAGCATCGGCCTTTCCTCGGCTTCGCTAGGCCGCTGGAATAGTGGCTGCCAGGTAGGCTGCTCCCGGATGGGGAGGCTCGACTGTCTTGGAAACAGTAGAGCAGCATCTCTACCGTTAGGTAGTTAAGGCGGCCCCTCTGGTTAGTCCCAAGCGGGGCTGTTCGCTAAGGGGGGCTCTTGCCCCTCTATTGGGGGGCGGGGTCTACTTACTTCAATACCTGCCCAGAAGGACGGGGAGGGCCGCCAAAAGGAGATCCGACCCAGCAGCTCCTGTCCTTGGGCCTGGGGTTGTTTTTTGTTTTTTGGACTGGGTGATCCAGGAGAGATTCAACCTGGAAATAAGGAGGAATTTCCTGACGGGGAGAGCGATCAACCAAATGGAACAGAAGTTGTCTTGTGGGAGCTTCATCCCTGGAAGCTGTCAAGAAGAGACTGGACTGCCATCTGTCAGAAATGGCGCAGGGTCTCCTGTGTTGGTGGGAGGGTTGGACTAGATGGCCTACAAGGTCCCTTCCGACTCTGTTAATCTGTGTAAAGTCTTGCAGTAGGTGCTAGCCAGCCTTGCGTCTTCCGTGCCTGGCAACTTCGTTCTTATTGATTAAACTTAAATGTAACTATGATTTATGACCTGTGACCTGCTGCTGTCTATATGTAGACTCTGAGTTTCTGCACAGGAGACAAATTCCTTGTGTGTCCAATCACATTTGGCCAAAAAAAAAAAAAAGAATTTATATTCTATTCTTCTAAAACCAGTTGTCCTGGATTGACTGATGGTCTCCCATGCAAACAGAGGAGAATTATTTGTAGCTCAGGGTTGAAATGAAGGGTCCTGGGTGCTCTCTGAGCTGGGTGGTTTTCTTGCAGACATTTCATACCCAACTAGGTAACGTCATCAGTGCTGGAAGGAAATGGGGTTTGTGGAGTAGGAGGACGACTGTGGGATCCTTGGTGCTCTCTGAACTGGGTTGTTTTCTTGCCGACATTTCATGACCCAACTGATCAGTGCTAGTGAGTGTGGGGTTTCTCCCTATTTATATACAGTAGCTCTTACAGACATTTCATTACCCAGTCAGGTAACATCATCAGTGCCAGAAGGGAGTGTTGCCTTCTAGCATTGATGATATTACCTAGTTTTGGGCAATGAATCATCTGCAAGAAAACAGCACCAAGGAACCCGCCTCTACAAATGCAGGAAGTCCAGTCTCTTCTTGAAAGCCTCAAGTGATGGCGCTCCCACAACTTCCGAGGGCAACTTCTGTTCCATTGGTCGATTGTTCTCACTGTCAGAAAGTTTCTCCTTATTTCCAGGTTGAATCTCTCCTTTCTCAGTTTCCATCCATTATTCCTTGTCTGGCCTTCAGGTGCTTTAGAAAATAGCTTGACCCCCTCCTCCTCTCTAGGGCAGCCCCTCAAGTCCTTTACTTACAACCTTCCATTTAGTGACAGCTCGAAGTTACGGTGGCTCAATACAAATTGCTAAGTGTTCCATTTGGTCTCATGCATTCTTTAGTTCCATCGTACATTCACTGGGAGTTCTCGAGTTATGACCACAATCGAGCCCAAAATGTATGTCGCTAACCCAGACATTGGTTCAATGAGTTTTGCCCCGTTTTACGACCTTTCTCTCCACCGTTGTTAAGTCAGTAACATGGTTGTTCGGTGAATCCGGCTTCCCCGCGGACTTTGCTTGGCAAAAGGTCGCAAAACACCGCAACTGTCATAACTGTGAGTCAGTTGTCAAGCATCCAAATGTAAATCACGTGACTATGGGGATGCTTGCAACGTCTTAAGTCTGAAAAATGGTCCCTTTTTTCAGAGCCATTGTTAGGGGGTCATTTGGCAACCTTCTGACAAGCAATAAGTCAGCAGGGAATCCCGATTCACATAACAGCTGTGTGACTAAGTTAACAACTGCAGGCATTCACTTAACGAATGTGGCGAGAAGAGCTGTAAAATATGGCAAAACTCAGCAGCATAAATTCTGGGCGCAATTGTGGTCACAAGTCAAGGACTAACTGTATTCCAGACTAACGGTACTGAACAGTTTTTATCCGTTTGTGAAATCTAGGGAGCTGTTGAAAAGAGGCATAACGTGGATGTGTATGAACATCACAACACACATCATGCTAGACACCCTTCATCCATTGTTATTGTGTTTTTTTTTCCCCCCACAAGCACATTAAGGACCAGTTGGTCTCCTTTTCTCTTGTGCATCAGCTATTTAATAGCCTCACTTTATCACTACTCTGTGTTTTCCTTCAAGGCTGAACCCAAACATCTTTGTGTGGTGACTTTCTTAGCCCCTGAGACGTTGTCTTATGCTATGGGACCCTACTGTTGTGTAGCCCACTTACTCTTAACAAGACAGTTAGTGAACTGGAGAGACAGTTTGGTGTAATGGTTGAGGGGCTGGTCTAGAAACCAAGAGATGGTGAGTTCTAGTTCCACTTTAGGCGTGAAAGCTAGCTGGGTGACTTTGGGCCAATCACTAGGAGATAGTGAGTTCTAGTCCTGCATTAGATATGAAGGGTAACTCTGGGCCAAGGAGACAGTGAATTCTAATTCTTCCTTAGTCACTAAAGCCTAAGAGCATGTTGTAACTTCGAACGATCACAAAATAAACTGTTGTAAGTAGAGAATTATGCTTCTGCCGTTTATCTTTTTCTTTGGGATCCGACAATGCTGGCTGTTTGAACCAACTGTGTGCGTCTTGAACCCTGCCAAGTGCTGCCATTGCATAGACAATTCTATCTCTTGAGTTGTTTAGCATACTGTCCAGATCAGGGATGCCTGGTCAGGCCAATATGCTAAGTAACCATGGTAAGAGCGGCACAGGGTTTATCCGTCAAAAAAAGAGATTACATAACTGAACAGCCTGTGTAATGATTTTGTCGGTAAGGCAGAATTTAACTGACCGCTTCATCCCAGCGCATTCATTGTTACCCAGTCTGCATTCAACTTCAGGAGTTTTTCTTTCTGGCACAATTATGCCGTGTAATCTTTTTTCCTGACTCTTTCAGGCCTATAGATCTCATTTTTCTCCTCCCCCTTTTCCTCCAGAATGTGACTTGATGTTTATTCATTTCCTATTTATTTATTAAACTTACACGCTGCTCATCCAACCCAGAGGCGATTGGGAGGTTTACGATTAAAAAAAAAAAAGCAACAAGTTCAAACATTAAAACAATAAATATTAACACTAAAACAATAAATATATATTTAATGTTATGGAAAATATCCCTGAAGGATAATGTTTGGTCTACAAAAGATTGTAGGAAGATACTTGTTGCTTATACATAGTATAAACAACAAGTAGATTCTTTTGTATGTGTAAGTTGTAAGCGTGAAAAACGCTCATAAGTCACTTTTCAAGTGTCGTCGTAACCTAACCCTAACCCTAAATGAATGGCTGTAAGCCGACAACCACCTGTGGTGTATTACCCCAAAACCTAGATAAGATTCTTCACCCCCTTAAACCACAAACCCAAGGCTTTGCAAGAAAACAGGTTTAGAAAGCGTTTTTGTGGTGTAAAATTGGTGGAGGACAGACAACAGCAATATGTTTTTATTCACCCATCTGGATATAAGGCCCTGAGTTAAGGAACCAAAGCTGCCAGTTGGATAAGTGAATGCTTGTGTCTCATGCCACATTTGTATTGTGGTCATAATTCAAGGACTACCTACTGTATTCAAACCACCTAACTTCAATTTTCCCCTTACTTAGGGGCTGGAAATGAAAAACATTCAAAAAATCGTTTGTATATCCAATCATTCCCGCTAAGTCTAGCTGTGGCATTCACACCCTTTCAGCTCCTCTTTCGAGCCATAATTTGTTGAGAAACTGCCACATCATCAATGTCAGATTTTGACTTGACCTGGCCGGGAGTGGGTTGTAAGCCAACCTTTGTTCAAATAACTAAAAAAAAAGGGATTCGCTGTGACTTCAAGTCAAACAGAAAGCTCCCCAATTAAACCGAGACCTTTCATTTATACTCTCGTGCTCGCCGTGAATAACTGACCTGCTAGCAAATACACTTAGTTGTGGTTGTTTTTATTCTTATTGTGTGTTTTCTTCTCATTGTGAATATTATTCTTATTCTCTTGTCTCTTTATCCTTGCCCCTTTTTTCGCAACGGAGCGGGCACCACCAAAGTTGTAACACAGGGCCGCTTTCTCTCTCTTGCAATGCTTCCTTAAGGAACGTCCTTTAATGGGGGCTGTTGGGAGGATTGTTTTGGAGGTGCCAGTTTTGTACGCATTTTCTCTTTTTCCTCCTGCGCAGAAGTACCTTGGACATTGCTCCTCATTTTGATTTTTGTTTTCTTCTTCTTCTTCTTCTCCTCCTCCTCCTCCTCCTCCTCCTCCTCCTCCTCCTCTTCTCCTCCTCCTCCTCCTCCTCCTCCTCCTCTTCTTCTTCTTCTCCTTCTCCTCCTCCCCCTCCTCCTCCTCCTCCTCCTCCTCCTCCTCCTCCTCCTCCTCTCCTCCTTCCCCATTTTATCAGGAGAAGATGGCCAGGGGTCACCGGCAGAGAGGAAGAGGGGGTGTGGAAGCGTAATGTGCCACCCCTCCTGGGTCCAAAGGTCTTCTGGCCAGAAGAAAAAGAAGGCCGGCCCCCTTGACCAGCAGGCACTTTGGCCAATAACCCCAACAGAGCTGAAATAAGGCCCCAGATTTAGTCCTAGGGGCTAAAAACCCCTCCCAGCTGCTGCGTTGGTCTACATTTCCGAATAAACAGTTACAAAAGCAGGAAAAAAACTCGCTCTCAAAAGTGTCCCTTGGGCGAAAGGTACCGGCTTTTCCTCTGCTTTCCTCCAGAAACCCTGGAAGAATTGCCCGTAGCTTCTCGGTGGTTTTCGAATTGGAACCCATCTAGGTTTCTGGGGCTCTTCCTCAGATTGGCAGGAATCAGAGAGAGTCCTCCACTGAACGGTCACAATGGAGCCTGAAATTTCTGTTGCTAAGGGGGAGAACACTGGTTCAGCAAGCTTCGCACTCCCTCCCCCATATTATGACCCTTTTTTTCTGGCCACGGTCGTTCAGTTGAATAGCTGCACGGGTTAAACTAGTAACGACGGCCGTTAAGCGAATCTGGATTTCTACTACAGACTTTGCTTGTCAGAAGGTGGTACAACGGGGGACGGGACACGTGACCTCAGGATGCTGCAACCCGTCGTAAATGTGAACCAGGTTGCGAAGCCTCTGAATTTTGATCACATGACACACACACACACACACACCCTGGATGCTGTAAGGGCTGTGAAAAGCGGTCCTGAGTCACTAAACGAATGGTTGTAAGTCAAGGACCACCTGTATGTAGACTGAGATATAATAACACCGCCATTTTTGTTGTTCTGCAGTTGACTGGATTGATCAAGTCATTGCTGACTAGTGATCACATTGTATAGAATTGAATTGAATTCTTTGCTGGCCAAATGTGGTTGGACACACAAGGAATTTGTCTTGGTATCTCCTGCTCAAGCAGAGGGCTGGACTAGAAGACCTCCAAAGTCCCCTTTAGCTCTGTCTCTAACCTGGTTTTTAAGGTCTTCCAATGACTCATTGTTGCTGCCATCCTTGTCTCCCATCTGCCTTGCCACCGCCTGCCCTGCCCTCTTTCCTTGCACCTTTCCCAGGGTTACGGACCTACCTGGGGATTGTATGGCTTACCTGCAGTAATATTGATGGGCTAGCCAACCTAGCTAATGCCTTCTTCTTCTTCTTCTTTTTGTTTTTAATTTCTCTGCCCACAGCAAATGGCTGCTAAACTTGGAGAAATTTCTCACGTGAATAATTCTGCGCCCCTCGTGGACCCCTCGGTGTACGGTTACGGAGTAAAGCGGGCTTTGGAAGACGGGAGTAAGTATCTTCTTTTTTCCAAATTTTTGAAATCCCTTTTACTTTAAAGGAAGGAAGGTTTAGCAATGGCTGGCAGTGAGGAGGAAAATCTATCTATCTATCTATCTATCTATCTATCTATCTATCTATCTATCTATCTATCTATCTAT